AGGAGCAGGAAAGCTGACGTTTCAGGTCTAGACCCTTCTTCAGACATTTCTGAAGAAGGGTCTAGACCCGAAACTTCAGCTTTTCTACTCCTCTTATGCTGCTTGGCCTGCTGTGTTCATCCAGCTCTCCACCTTGTTACCTCAGATTCTCCAGCATCGGCAGTTCCTACTATCTCTGAATTGAAGATTGCAAATAGGTTCAGGGAGTGATTAATAAAGCATACAGCATCCTCAAATTTATTAATAGGGACCTAGTGTAAAAAGGCAAGGAAGTTATGTCATGCATAATTAAAGTACTATTTTGATGCAGAGAGTGCAGAAAAAAATCTTCATGTCAATATTTCCAGGGATGAGAAACTTTAGTTTGTTGATAGAAGTGATAAATTGAGACTGTTTTCCTTGGATAAGAGAGGAGACTTGATACACATACTCAAAATTATAAGGCGTGTGGAGAGAGTAGAGAGGGAAAAGAACTGTTCTCACTTGTGGAAAGGTAATGAACTAGAGGGCACAAGCTTAAGGTAATAATCAAATGATGCAATGAAAACTCAAGGAAAAACACATTCAGGCAGTGAGTGGTCAGTATAACCTTTCCATGGATTGACACTTTGCTGTGGTGGAGGAGCTTGAGTGTTCTGGTGACCCTGAGAAAAATGCTCAGGAGGTTAAGTCATAAGATAGGAGCCCTTGCTGTTGGAGGCAATGCATTGGTGTGGATAGAGAACTGGCTAATGGGCAGGAAAGAGAGAGATGAGGGATTATCCCTCAGCCACATCCCACCTGTGGCTTGTGGTGTTACACAGGAATTAGCGCTGGGACCACAACTGTTTATAACATACATTAATGACTCAGAGAAAGGAAGCAAATGTATTGTAGCTAAATTTGCAGATGAGTCAAGAGTAGATGGAAAGGTAAGTGGGGAGAAGGATAAAAACAGTTTAAAGAGAGATATTGATAGGTTAAGAAAGTGGGCAAAAAGTTGGCAAATGGTGTACATTGTGGGAAAATGCAAAGTTTGGAAGGGAAGACAAAAGAATAGAGCATTATTTAAATGGCAAAAACATTATAGAAAGTTGCAGCAAAGGGGACTTGGTGGTACTTGTGCACAAAAAGAACAGATGCAGGTGCAGCAGGTAATCAGGAAGGCTAATGGAATGTTGGCCATTATTTCAAGGAGTTTGGTGTATAAGAGTAGGGAGTGTTACTGCAACTGGGCAGGGTGTTGGTGAGACCACACTTGGACTACTGAGAGCAATTTCCATCTCCTTATTTAAGAAAATATATTATTTCCTTGGAGGCAGTTAAGAAAAGGTTTACTAGGATGATCTCTGGTATGTAGAGATTCCCTTATGAGCAAAGGTTAAGCGGGTTGGGACTCTACTCATTGGAGTTTAGAAGAATGAGAGGTGATGTCAACGAAGCATACAGTATTCTTAAGGGCTTGACAGGGTAAATTCCCCTCATGAGAGACTCCAGGACCAGAGGGTATAGTCTCAGAATAAAGATGCATCCATTTAAGATTGAGATATCGAGGAATTTCTGAGAGGGTTGTGAATTTTAGGAACTCCTTATTACAGAGAAGTGCAGGGGTAGAGTCACTGTGTATACTTAAGGCTGAGATTCTTGATCAATAGTGGAATCAGGGTTATGGGGAAAATGCAGGAAAGTAGACGTGAGAAGTATCAGATCCACCATGATCCTATTGAATGGCAGAGCAGGCTCGAGGGGCTGAATAGACTAACTCCAGTT